ATGATAGAGTATAGCACTGCCTGGTATAGAAAACCATACAGTCGTCTTTCAAAACCTCATACAATAATGATAAATGAAGAGACGAAACAAAATGCACGTTTGGAAAAAGACAAGAGTGCCAGCTTTTGTGCAAGGAACATGGAGTCCCAAGCAGAGCCTTTGTGGCACTGGGATGAACTTGTGAAAAGAAGCTGAAGTCAGTGTGTCCTGACAGAGGCAGCCTGTACATTCTCATTATGAGGTGTGGTGATTAAAATGCAGATCTTGTTGCTTTTCCTGTTCCTGAACAAGCTAGCACCCAGCCGGGCCCATCACTCATATGGCAGACAGGAAAGGAGTGGCTCACAGCAGCACCATACAGGGAGAGATCCTTGGGAGAAATCCATAAACTTGCACTGGTGACACTGCTTCATGTCTAGAGCTGCCATGACGTGGATGGGTCAGAAAAATGAGCTGCTAATGCTTATTAAGTTTTAACTGTTAAGATGGTATTGATTTATACAGCAAATAAACTCTGGAGAGGATTTAGAACTTTGCACATGGCCAGTTATGCCACATTAACCACTCCTAGATTGTAAGCTCCAAAGAGCAGGGCCCTCGAACCCCTCGTGTATTGTACTGTTACTGTATTGTCCCATGTACCGTCCCCCACTATAATGTACAGCGTGAGCAAACCTTTTGGCGCTATATAAATACTGTATAATAATAATAATAATTAACCACTTGCCCTCCAGAGGATTTACCCCCCTTCCTGACCAGGCCATTTTTTGCGATACGGAGCTGTGTCAGTATAATTGACAATTGCGTGGTCATGCAACGCTGCACCCAAATTAAATGTACGTCCTTTACCCCCTCACAAATAAAGCTTTCTTTCGGTGGTATTTCATCGCCTCCGTGTTTTTTAATTTTTTTTCCACTATAAACAAAGAAAAAAAGACAGACAATTTGGAAAAAAATCCCTATTTTTTACTTTTTGCTATTAAACATGTCCAGTAAAAAATTTTTAAAAATCAAATTTCGTCACAAATTAAGGCCAAAATGTATTCTGTGACATGTCTTTGCTAAATAAAAATCCCAATACATGTAAATTAATTGGTTTACGTGAATGTTATAGCATTTACAAATGGCAGTATACATACTGGAATTTTTTTTTTTTTTACTAGTAATGGCGCCAATCAGCGACTTATAGCAGGACTGCGGCGGGCATTCTGACACTGGGGGGAACAGACTTGGTGTCACTGACATCCCCAGTGATACCAATACAGTGATCAGAGCTAATAAAAAGCACTGACACTGTACTAATGGCACTGGGCAGGAAGGGGTTAACACATAGGGTGATCAAAGGGTTAACTGTGTGCTGTTTTACTGTGTGCTTTACACTGTAAGCACACTGCTTTGTATGGGTCTGCTATGCAGAGCCATACAAAGCAGTGTGCAGGAGCTGACAGGAGAGAGATCTGTGTTTTTTATACACAGGTCTCTCCCCCGTCGGTGATACCCAGTGTTCGACGGGTGCCGGCTGAGACCGCAAATGGTGGCACGGGTAGGGCATGCGTGCCCCCTAATGGGAACTGCAAAATCACACACATATATATATATATATATGTGATTTTGTGCACCCATGCCACCCTGTAGTAGTGTTTCTGCTATAGGGCGGCGCAGAAGCGGTTAAAGAAGGTTTTCAATTCAATCCAAAAGTGAGATTTTACATCAAGACTGGGCTGGTTACTACCACTTGTAATCATATGCACAGCCTTTGATTATATGGTCAGGAACTCTGTATTTTTAAATGGAATTATTGGCAACTGCAGCCCTCATATTTCTCCACAATTTTTGTTCAACGCATTTAGCCTAGGTTCACACTAATGCGGTGTGGGAAATGCTGCAATCCGTGTGCTTTTCCCGCACTGTGTTCTGATCGCACTGCCCTTGCATGTGTCAATACAAACTTAACATCCCAAACATAAGGTGCAAATGCAGTGCATTTGCCTGCACCGGATCGCATGGTACAAAAAGACCATGCAATACAGTTGCGGTGAAGCTCCAAAAAAGGTGCATGCACATCTTTGTTACAATGCGATCTGAGCCTGTTCAAAATGAATGCGGTTCAGTTCCTGTGCGATTCACATGCGGTGTCCAGTGTGAACCAGGTTTATGGTTTACTGAAGTGCCATCAATATCCTACTCTCTCTTAACTGCTTTCTAATCATCCCCCTGATAAATGGACATACAAAAAATAAATGACATGGATTTGTCAGCTGAGATGGCTGGAGGCAGGTGCAGAAAGCGGCATCACTGAACCAGAAAATAAATGTGTGGCTGTTGGTAAAATCCTAAAATTCCCCTTCTCTGCTCCCTTTCTTTTTTTTTTTTCCTGCCTGACTGTTAAAAACTGGTTGGCTGTAGGCTTTACCAGATGATTATTATCCCATAAAGGTCTTTCTTCTTTAGCAGCCAAATCACCGGTCTTTCTATAAAACTATGACTTCAACATCCTGCATATAGGTCCCTTTTTCTTATTGCTTGTGGACCTTTATTTTGTCCTCTTACTTTTTTTTTTTGCATTTGGTCATGCTCAAAACTCTAAAATAAGAAAAAAAAAATCCTAAAACTTTCTGAACAGAATTATGATCCCTTTTCGAATAGGATATGAGATGCTGCGAGAGGCTGAAGTGGACATGACACAAGACAACAGGCTGCTATACATTGAGGGTCCATTCATACTAAAGCATTCCTCTGGGGTGTGTTAATACCCATGCATTATGACGTACCTCAACATGCATTGTGTTACATACTGTAGCACATTCACTATAAATGGGCAGTCAACAAAAAATAATAAAGTGCATGGCTTTTTTTTTTTTTCTTTAACCCCTACACGCCTAAAGGTAAAACAAATCTGAATGCCTAAGCACAATTTTGCAACGTTGACATGTGTTAGTAAAACCGTACATATCATCCCAACTACTTTGTACATCCAGGTGAATTATACCTTGTTTTTTTCAGGACAAATTGGGCTTTCATTTGCTGGTAAATGGTAATGGATATCGCCTGATTTTTTTTTTTATCATCAAAGAAAAGCTGGCTCAAAATAGTAAAAAAAAATCTATTTTTTTATATAGCTGTGTGTTTCTTGTTACTACCATAACCTACCACCAAAGAACAACCCAAAGTAAATTCTCCAGCTCTTGACGATCGCAGCGATACATATATGTGTATTTGTTGTTTTTGTACCCGTAGTACAGCCCAGAAACAATAGCGCACATTATTTTGTTTTTACCTAAAACACACTGACACTGAAACTGACACCAATTTTTTTTTAAATCCTGACCTTTGACCTTGACCTTTGATCCCAACCTTGACCCAAACACTTAATCTGGCGCTGAACAAGATCAAACCTTGATCTAGGTATTTTTTCTTTATTTTATTATTTAACATTTATCTTTTTTTTTTTACAAACATTTTTTTCCCCTCTATGCCAGGAGTTAGAGAGATACAATGCATCTCTCTCCTCTATTCATAGAGAGAGAAAAAACAAGGGTGCCGGGCTGTACAGTGACTGATCACTGTGCTAGCCAATCAGAGGCTATCACAGTGATCATGTAACCCGCAATCGGGAGTCCCGGGTCCTGATCGTTAGAACGGAACCCGGTGCTCTCTGTAACATCGTGGTCTTTATGCTGGGAGTGCGCCATGCGGCGTGCTCCCAGCAGAAAGACAGATATGCAAAAAAGCCTAGTTCTGTAAGGCCGCATATTTGTGTTACATCGGCGTCAAGGGGTTAAACAATGCAGCATACCACAAAATATTATATATGTGTCGTGGAGTGCTGCAGTGTGTCAGGCTATACTGTACAATGCATGAAGATGTCACTCATAATGAACAGCACCGCAAACACACCCCACACAGAGCAGGTGACTTGTCATGTGTTGTTGCAACACATGCGAAAGACATGCATTGCTAGAATGCACAGCAACACACCTGCTCTTTGCGTGGTGTGTTGCGGTGCTATTCATCAACACAAAAGTGTGAATGGGCATTGGTACTGCTGTTCTGGCTGTTTTACCTCTTTGGAGGAATGGAGGACCTATAATCCAGCAAGAGGACCATCACTACAATAAATATGTGTATAGTAGAATCCAATAAGATTAAGGGGGGATATGATCAACATGTATAAATACATCAGTGGTTCATATAGTGAACTCGGTGTACAGTTATTCACCCTGAGGTCATCACAGAGGACAAGGGGGCACTCTTTACGTCTGGAGGAAAAGAAATTTAATCTCCAAACACGGAAAGGTTTCTTCACAGTAAGAGCTGTGAAAATGTGGAATAGACTCCCTCAAGAGTTGGTTCTGGCCAGCTCAGTGGATTGCTTTAAAAAAGTCCTGGATTCTTTCTCGGATACACAGAATATAACTGGATACTAACATTTATAGGTAAAGTTGATTCAGGGAATATCCAATTGCCTCTCAGGGGATCAGGAAGAAATTTTTTTCCCCTGCAGGAGAAAATTGGATCATGTTTTGCTGGGTTTTTTGCCTTCCTCTGGATCAACTGTGGGTGTAGGTTATAACTTTCTTTTTTTTTTCTTTTTTAATGGTTGAACTGGATGGACTTTTGTCTTTTTTTAAGCCAGACTAACTATGTAACTATATGTAAACCATCCAGCTATTCCTTGCACTGGTTTATCTCAGGGCGAACAACAATATAGACAGAATTAATCCAACACAACCAATCACCAGACCTTATCCCTCCTCCAAAGCTGCCCATACACAATGCAATGTGATTTTACAATCTATATGCAATGTCCTTTAGAGCTACCAAGAACTATGTAGTAGAATCCCTGCCTAAACAATCCATTTCATTTTGTATGTAGTGTATTGCCGGCCATAAATATGCAGCCAAAATTGGGCTAGGTTGAGTATATAATTATGCAATGTCAATTGCCACCTTTGCTAAGAGAAGCAGGATTCAGAAGAAATAATCGTGGTAATACTTACAGACACGGTGGAGCTTGGTGTATTTGTGCCATAGCCGGATGAGGGCAGGGATGCCAAAGACCAGCGCCGTCCATCTGTCCTGTTGTTGAGCAGAAATAAGAACACTATTAACGAATTTGTTTTACATGAAAATTAAATTGTTCACAATCAAGGTAACTTTTATTTCTGCCATAAATACATACTGCTATATGTCTGCATTGTTACGCTGTTAATCATTACCATACTGTTCTTTCAATGAGCTGTAACAGATTGATTTACAGAGTAAATGTTGACTTATAGGTCTCATAATACTAAAACAAAATGGGCAAAATAATCCAGGGAATGAAAAACTACTTGAGTTACATATTGAAAACTGCAAAAAAAGAAATAGACTGCCCATGGAAACCAATTGTTCAAGCCCAAGCTAAATACACAGTAAGTGAAGTAAGATATTAGTATGAATAGTATAGGCAATGCATACTTTTCTTCTCTCTGCTAACTTTTTCTGAAATTAAAAAAAAAAAAAAGAAAAAGAAAAAAAGATAACCCAAGAATCCACATTATGGTTTTCCAGTCACAATCTAAAGCCAGTTATGCAGGGTAACAGAACAATTAATTATTTTTCACAAAGTTGCATAGTATAAGCTAGCACTTTCATCTTTGTCGAAGTTGTTTTCACAAAGTTTAATCTTTCTAATTTTATAATGGGCTTTTCAAGTACTTACTAAAGCAAATGACTTGGAGCATTAGGCTGATTTTTGTAAGCTTTGCATCCAATCTGTATGTTATCTCTCAAGGAATTAGCAATCAATCAATACTGAATGTACACAAGAGATAAAAATGCTGCTGCATGGGAAGCTTTTCAAACATGTAAAATCTCTGCATCTGGTTTAGAATGGTTTCCTTTTCTAAAAATGAATTCTTTTACTAAAAGCTTAAAGTAATTTAAAAAATCTCATCTTTTACATCCTGCACATCCTGTCGAAATGGAAGAGATTTTTCCAAAGTGGGGGAAGGTTAAAACCTGTGATTTTTTTTCGGCATGTGTGTTTCATAAGGAAGATTTCCCTTCACCTCCTGTCCTGTAGACCCAACAGAAAGCGAGAAGATCTCTTTCTAATGTTAAAGTGATAGTAAGGGTACGTTCTCACTAGCGTTGTGTGCAGGTGGCAGAAAGGCATTTGGGAAGTGTTTTTACCGCTTCCCAAACGCCTCGGACAATTCTGCACATTGCAGCACATGGTGCTGTTCTAACGGGTGCGTTATGCAGGCCATAGATGGGTCGATTTTTCGGCCGAAAATAAAATCGGCCGATTTTCGGATCGTTAGTGGGCTATTTGTTCGGACGTTTTTCGGTATTTTGGCAGTTTTTTTTTATCGGTAAAGTTGGAAAAAAAAATCGGCCGATTTTGCCGATCGGCCGATTTTCGCGGCAATGATGGGCAAATCGGCCGATTTTTTACCGATAAAAAATCTGCGCATGAGCAGTGACCTGCAAGAGGAAGACAAAAAGAAGAAAAAGAAGAAGAAGAAGAGGATGATGATGAAGAAGAAGAAGAGGATGATGAAGAAGAAGAGGATGAAGAAGAAGAAGAGGATGATGAAGAAGAAGAAGAAGAAGAGAGGATGATGATGAAGAAGGAAGAAGAGGATGATGATGAAGATGAAGAAGAAGAGGATGATGATGAAGAAGAAGAAGAAGAAGAGGATGATGATGAAGAAGAAGAAGAAGAGATGATGATGAAGAAGAAGAGGATGACGATGAAGAAAAAGAAGAAGAGGATGACGATGAAGAAGAAGAAGAGGGTGACGATGATGATGATGGAGAAGAAGAAGAAGAAGAGGAAGAGGATGATGATGACGACGAAGAAGAGGATGGCGATGAAGAAGAAGAAGAGGATGAAGATGAATGAAGAAGAGGAAGAAGAAGAAGAGGATGATGAAGAAGAAGAGGAAGAAGAAGAAGAAGAGGATGATGATGAAGAAGAAGAAGGATGATGATGATGAAGAAGAAGAAGAAGAGGATGATGAAGAAGAAGAAGAGATGATGATGATGATGAAGAAGAAGAAGGAGATGGATGATGAAGAAGAAGATGATGATGGTGAAGAAGAAGAATGAGGAGGATGAGGATGATGATGATGAAGAAGAGGATGATGATGATGGTGAAGAAGAAGAAGAAGAGGATGATGATGAAGAAGAAAGAAAAAGAAGAAGTAGGATGAAAAATAAGAGGAATTCCAGCTGAACCGCGCATGCGGCGTTTGCGGAGCGAGAGATTAAAAAATGCTCCGCAAACGCCGGACCAACGCTTGCCAAACGCTATAGGGGTGTTTGGCAAGAGTTGGTAAAACAGTCAAGTGTGATTGAGCCCTAAGTCCGCCATACATATTTTTATTTATTTATTTATTATTAAAGGGACCCCAGGTGGGTTATGTCATAATGTGCTAGTATGTACCGCATATTTAGCACATTATGCAGACTTACCTGCCAAGGAAACCCTCCAGCACTGCGGCATAATTGATCCAGCAGGCCCTGGGCTCTTCCATTTTAGCTCCTTAGGGATTTTCAGTCGCTATGTGGTTACACCCCTTTAGCACCCAATAGATAAAGGCATGTACAAGCTATTGGGATTTGAGCACAGGTATATCTTGTTTATTGAATTGTGAGTCAGTAGCCAGGCCTATACCTTGTAGTTCTCCCCCACTTTGTGTCTGTTTGAACCATATTGGCATTGTGTCCACAGTAACATTTGCGTTGGCAGAGCAGAGTAGGATGGGCCAAAAGAGATTACTTTGACGCAGGTGGCCAGCTTAAACATGTATTGCAATATGTGTGACCTAAAAATCCCTATTTTTTATTGCAAAGTTTGCTGGAAAAGGGTATATAGCAGTGTGCCGAGAGTTCCTTCAGAATTTCAGGGGTTCTTATTTAAGGACTCAGACCATTGCCTGCCCTGAACGACCTGTCCTGGGCTTTTTCTTCATTCTAGTTTTGGAGACCTCCATCCTGGTCTCCTCGCCTGGTGGTAGAGCAAGCCCTGTCTCCTTCCTGTGACTTCTGCACTACCCCCCCCCCCCTTTTTTTTTTTCTCTTCCCCTCCCCTCTTAGGATATTGACCCAACTACACACATTCACTCCCATTGGCCGAGATATCCATCCCTCTCCCCAACCCGCCCACCCCCCTTTCCTGGCATGAATTTCATGCCTCAGATGTTTGGTAGAATGCTATCCCCTTCCATTTGTCATGGTGCATATCTGATCTCTTTCTGCTGGGCAAAAGCCGCCCGAAAAAGTTTTTTTCTACAATTCCTTATTGTAAACAAATTATGGTTCTAGTTTGTTGTCTTTCTTATACCAACTGCTGTACAATGTGAGCTAGAACCAACTAAACTCAATAATTTGGAGGGATGTCTACATACGTTTGATTATAGAGGCAGGTGTATTGGTCAGGTGACTTTTATCAGATTTTGACTCTACTACTCTTCTCTATACGCAGAAACACAAAAGGTGGTTTCTACCACAATAATAGCAGTCATACCAATAAAACTGTATGCAGCCACATGAAAACATAGGCCTGTCAAAATTTTGAAAGGGTAGTAAATAAAAAACAGAATGACAGGGTGTTTATTTAAAAAGCAACACCTACTGAGAGCATATGTACAACAAACTCTTCATGCAAATTAATAATCATGAATAATGTGCCCTTTTCTCACTACCAAGCATTAGAAAGTAATTAGACAAGATTAGGATGCTAATTAGGAGCTAGTGGAAGAAAAATTGTGCCATGTATACTTGGGGACTGTGTTACTACCTTCGTGCAAATGAAAAATGAGCTGAGGCGCTGGGGGAGAAGTTCCTTGGGCTGTCTTGTGGGCTGTTCCCTATAGGGAGACAAGAAGAAAAATGAAGAAGTGTTAATACAAACTATATTCTGTACATGCAAGTATATACACATAAAATAATATCCCATGTGAAAAAAATACCTTATATGTTAAGAGAACATTCAAATACTGCGGAAATGGTGCTCTTTCTGAAGAGCCCAGCATCAAAGGCAAAGTATTAACTACCAGTGTGCTGTCTGTTTTCTTGTATCTCCTACACTTAAAGTATTATTATTATTATTATACAGTATTTATAAAGCGCCAACAGTTCGCTCAGCGCTGTACATTACAATGGGAGACAGAACATGCGACAGTACAGTAACAATACAATGTGATACACGAGGGGTTCGAGGGCCCTGCTCCTTGGAGCTTACAATCTAGGAGGGAGGGGAAAGTACAGTACACTGAAGTACAGGCAGAACAAACAGGCCATCACTGCAATAAAAAAAATGCATTTAAAAGTCACATCACTGGTGAATAAAACCTCTTTAATAATTGATTTTATTCTACGGTCAACTTAAAGCTGAACTACATTGAACCTGAGCACCACAAACCAAAAAACCCTGTTTAATTCAGGTTTAATATTCAAAGCAAACTCACCCATCCATCCATAGTCTATTTTGCTGAGAAATCACTTTGAAAAACACACCCTAGCATTTCTGACTATGGCCATCTTAAGTAAGGGCAGAGGATTCACATAAAGGTTACTTCCTGGAATCCATCTGCCCTTAGCTCGGGTATGCAGGCAGGAGGGTATGCCTAGCTGAGAATACCCCTCCTTTCCTCCTGAGGACTATCTATGACCTATCAGGCTAGGCCTGGAAACCAAGAAGTAACTGAAGGAATGAAAAGAAAAAGTTTAGAACAAGTAGATATGATATACTTTCCTCTATTAAAATAAGTCAATATTGATTGAGAGAGAGAAGTTCTGCTTTAACTGCAATTACCCGGCTCAGTTGCCTCTTAGGCTCCATGTACACGGGGCGTTTTAATAACGCTGATAACGTTAGCTGTGTAAAGTCACATTAAAGACATGAGTTTTTCAGCATTTTTTAGCGTTTTTGTATTAGTGTTTAGCTGCGTTTTTTAGGGTTTTTTTTTTTTAACCAAAAAAAGTCCAGAAACACTGATTTTCTGCGATTTACCACGTTTTTCAGCATTAGAGCGTTTTTACAGCTAAAAAACTCCTCTAGAAATCAACTAGTTCTGGGGGGTTTTTTCCAGCCAAAAAACATTGATTACAGTCTATGTGTGGATGGACACATAGGATAACATGCTGGGGGGTTTACTGGCTGTAGAAAAAAACGTCAAAAGCAGCCGCTGTAAAAATGTCCAGTGTGCATGAGGACTTAGAAGGGCAGGGGACATGGTTCTACACTCCTCATCCACCCAGACCCATGATGATAAAATACAGTTTGATAACATGCGTCTTATAGAATCCACCGTCAAGCTTTCTAGGTGGTATGATGGTCTGTGATCAGAAAGTCTGACTACAGAACTGCAGGCTCACCATGCATCTGTACAGCATCCTGCTACTGGTTGTAAATACACACATCTGTCAACACTACCAAGGGGCTTGCAGATGCGGCTAGCATTGACAGAAGACAAGAACTGGGGTTGGGTGGTGAAAACTGGCAGTATTAGATATGTTTTAAAAAGTACAAAAGATAAAAAAAGCAGTAGTTATTAATTGTATAAGGGAGAAAGTAAATGTATTAATGGCAGGGGCGGACTGACCATTTGGAAACTCGGGCACTGCCCGAGGGCCCGGGGTCAGTAGGGGGCCCCATGAGATACCCCTGGTACCTTTTTCATAGGCTTTTGTGACTTTGGGCAAGGACACAGGGGCCCCATGATCCCCTATTGCCCGGGGGTCCCATGAGTTGTCAGTCCGCCCCTGATTAATGAATTGTTTTTTTAACATTAACATACACTGCAGCAATACCGTTCACTTTCTGTATTGCACTGTAAGTGGGCAATGGTGACAGAACATGAAGTACAAAATGTATAGCAGTAGAATTCTATAACAGCTCACCCATTTGTAATAACAAGCACCTATCCATGTCAGGTGCAATGTCACTTTTGATAAAGGTTATAGATAATAGATCTTCAGTTTAATAAATGCGGTACGCCATGACTTTTTTTTCTTTAGGACTATTTTCCTATGAATGTTATTTTACGCATAACTGAATTTTGTGACCTATATATAGTATATTTCCTTTTTATTGTGGCAGTATAGAGGTGTACAGTCACATTCCTTTACCATTTGTACTGGTCGCATTCTGTTGAATAGCACCCATTCCTTACTTCATTGTACATTAATATATGTTTAGTTGGTGTGCAAATCTTTACTAAATAAATTATACGTCTATTCTTCTTTATAGAGCAGAGGTAGGTCATTGGTGAGCCAGCACTCCAGAGAAGCCTTCTTCATTAACAGATGAAACAGCAAGGAAAATGCTAAAGTGTATCAGGCAAGTACACCCTTAATCATACCTTAATCATGCTATGGTTAAGGCACTGCACGCCCAATATGCATTCGGCTTGCCATATTATCTAACAGTTTATTTAAAAAAGGCCTTTTATGGGAAAACGGTCTCATGTATGACTGTTGAAAAACGTACAGGTTATGGTGAAATTTGTTACAAAAATAACTCCAGTGATACTTAATTCAAATGTCAGAGATCAAATAAGAATGTAGCCGAATAATTTGAAAGTTTCTCAAAATTAATCAGTGTTTACTAAAGGCACAATTTTTTTTCATTGTAATAACAAACATGTTATACTCACCTGCTCTGTGCAGTGGTATTGCACAGAGTGGCCCTGATCCTCCTCTTCTCGGGTCCCCCACCGGCGATCCTGGCTCCTCCTCTTCTTTGTGTGTCCCCATAGCAAGCCATCTGCTATGGGGACAAACGTGTGCTCGCTCCTGACCTATGTGTCTATGGAGCCACCCTCCATAGACACGCACACAGTGGGACAACCTTCTCGACCCTTTACAGTCCGGCTTCCGCCCCCTACACTCCACCGAAACTGTCCTACTCAAACTCACCAATGACCTACTAACCGCCAAAAACCAATGGCCACTATACTATACTCTTGACCTCTCTGCGGCTTTTGACACGGTTGACCACCCCCTCCTCCTCCTGACAAACTCATGTAGACTTCACCTCCACAACATCTACAAGATACAACCGTTCCTAACCTCGGAAACCACTAAGCAACTCATTCACTCCCTTATTATATCATGCCTTGACTACTGTAACTCCCTCCTCACTGGCCTACCTCATCGCTCCAGTCCATGAATGCTGCTGCCAGACTCATTCACCTTACTAACCGTTCTGTATCTGCCACCCCTCTCTGACAATCCCTCCACTGGCTTCCAATTGCACAGCGGATAAAATTCAAAACACTAACACTGACGTATAAAGCCGTTCATAACACTGCCCCTAATTACATCACCGACCTTGTCTCTAAATACCACCCAAACCGTACTCTCCGCGCCTCACAAGACCTCCTACTCTCTAGCTCCCTTTTCTCCTCCTCCCATGCTCGTCTCCAGGATTTCTCAAGGGCTTCACCCATCCTCTGGAACTCCCTACCCCAATCTATCAGGTTATCGCTTACTCTGCTCACTTTTGGGCGCACCCTGAAAACCCATCTCTTCAGGGAAGCCTACCCTGATCCCAGCAATTATTGGAATCTTCTACTCTTCCTACCACTCCATCCGCCACAGCTAATTACCTCTTGTATCACTATCCCCTCCCTCCTAGATTGTAAGCTCCAAGGAGCAGGGACCTCTAATCCCTCTTGTATTGAACTGTATTGTTACTGTACTGTCTCCCTCCATAATGTAAAGTGCTGAGCAAACTGTCGGTGTTATAAGTCCTGTATAATAATAATAATAACACAGCTCTTGCTGCTGTCAATCAAGTGCAGTGAAGAGGAAGTGGGGAACAGGGTTAATGGCTCCCCGCTACTGTTCAAGTCCTTGTGTGAAGAGGAAGCGAGAGGAGAAGAGATGTAGCCATGCACAGCGCTGATCTCTTCTCTCCTCTCTTCCCCTTCACAAAAGGAAAGGGGGGAGCACAGGAAACTTACAAATGTTATTTTTACCTTAATGCAGGCAATGCATTAAGGCAAAAAACGTTTTTAGGTCTAGTGTCACTTTAACAAATTATTTTCATTATTATTATACAGGATTTATATAGCGCCAACAGTTTGCTCAGCGCTTTACAATATAACTGGAGACAATACAGCAACAATACAGTTCAATACAAGAGGGTTAGGAGGACCCTGCTCTTTACAAAATAATCTCTAAAAAAATCATTAAATAAAGAGTATGAAATGGAAAATAACATTTTAAGAAACTGTTCCATGATATGCTTTTAGCTCCACATCTTAATTTTAAAAATCTTTATTTTTGAAACTTGTTAACATGAATGTAAGCGTATTGTCTGTTCAGCAACTATGTGAAGGCTGCCCATAGACAACTAGAATTTTGGCCAATTCCTGCTCAATTTAAACAAAGCAATATTTGCACTGGCCAGGGCATGTATTCACAGATCTCAAAGTAGGGGGTAAGAAATGGCAAAGGTTATTTTTGTGAGGTTGATCGATAACTGCAAATATTAAAGTGTATGTTAGGGCAAAAAAAAAAATATTCAGTACATATCTCTAATACATGCATACATCTACAGGTTTTATCCCTTTAAAATCCCTGCAAGTGCAGCAAAGTACATGTCAACTGTACGTGTATTTTCTCCATCAGCCCATGCCCCACAGTTATTACCCTTTGTGTCTCCTGACCCTCCCTCTTAGATTGTAAGCTCTAACGAGCAAGGCCCTCTCATCCCTCCTAAATTAAATTGTATTGTAATTGTACAGTCTGCCCTTATGATGTAAAGCGCTGCGTAAACTGTTGGCACTATATAAATCCTGTATAATAATAATAATGTCAATCTGACAGAAATTCTCTGTGTGCTAACTTCCTGTATAGG